TTGGTCTTGTGCAGGGAACGGAACATTTGACTCTTCGTGTGACTCCGAGAGATGAATCAGCAATAAGTTGTCAAGCTTTTATCTTTTTTTTTTTTTTAATTAAAATCAACAAGAAATTCACATGCAACTTGCCTCACCTTGCATCAAAACTCCTCCTCTCTCTGTACTCATCTCATCCTCTCTTTTGTGTTAAACCTCAGTCACTTAGTCATTACACTTTTGTAACCATGAGGTAATATATGCCCACATGTCAGAGTACTAGAAGAATAATAGAAATATTTAAGTTTACCTCCCTTTCCTTTTTCGTCCCTCTGTAAGCAGTAGACAATGCTCCTTCCCAACCCAGTAAAAATTTGGTACATCCTTTAAGAAGTCACACAATATTGTAACAGAAACTTAGAAAGCCCAAGGCTGGCTTCAGGTAAATGAATAAGCAAAAAAAAAAAAAAAAAAAAAAAAGGAAAAAAAGAAAAAAGAAAAAAAAGAAAAAAGATAAAAGAAAAAAAGAAAAAAAAGAATCATCAACCCATCAAAAAACATCAACCAAAACAACAATGAAACTTGTCAGATCAAATAGGAGGTTGCTGTCTGAACTCACAGGATTTGAGTGGCTTCAGACGTATCAGTTCTTCCATTCTTACTCATGCGCTCTCTTGTCCCTGGGAGGGCTACAGAAAGTGTCATATATAACACATCTCAACAGCGACAGTTCCAGCTAACTAGAACAACAAAGCTGTGAGGTTTCTGAGCCAAGATGTGTATCGGAGCAAGCCTGCTGAGAGCCAGTCCACGGTGTGGCTCCGTTTCTTGTCTCTGACACCCCGATGTCTCGGCACATGCCAGGGATCAGCTGGAGATCAGCAACTGCTCCTTCTGCTTTTGCAGTACAGGTGCCCTTCGAGCCTTTGCTGTGCACCAGTCACCTTCCTCCCCGTCACAAGTGACCACGGACTGGTAAAGAGCCAGGACACATGGATGCAATACGCAGTGTTGATATGAGGGATACTGGCCGTAGCTGTCCAGGGGACATTTCTCCCTCTCTGACCAGGGTTTCTTTGCTGGGGAAAGCAAGAGCTGCAGCTGGTACTGGCAGGCTGTTTGCCAGCACAGCACCTCCCATCTCCACAGGTCTGTGAGAAACAGCACCCACCACGCAGCAGCACCCATCGCACAGCAGCCCTGCTCATTGCGCATCCTGCCTCACTCTCTGCTTATCCTCTGTCTCTCAGACCTCACCAGGCGTTCTTTTGCTTCCACCGCGCTTTGGCAGCGATAACCCTACTACAAGGCAGTCCCTTCTACCACCTTGGTTACTGTACATATGGAGCCTACCCAAGGTTTTTAAGACACTAGCATGCTGCGCTCCCCTTTCCACAGCGGGATAGGTAAATAGGATGCAGCACCTGATACACATCAACCACAAACGAGTCCGTATCTCTGTTGAGCAGCTCACTGTGCTTGGCCACATAGCAGTACCAATGTTTCTGTCATGCAGAGCCCTGATCTGGCCCAGCTGCACGCCCCAAACGCACAGGCATCACCTGGAAAGCGTTCAGCCGACTTCAAGAGCTGTCTGTGTGCCTGCGGCGTGCCCACTGGCTCAGCTCTGGCCAGATCCCTCAGGCTGGGTCTTGTAAGAAAACACACACGTGCCTATGAAGAAAGGACATGAGCCACAGAAGACCCTCAGGCAGCAGTAGCAGCTCAGAAACCTCTTATCAGGGGATGATCTGGGCTCGTTGCTTCTTGTCAGCCATGTTCTCCACAGAGGAGAGTCTCTCCAGAGTCCCATTAAACAGTGCCCAAACCTTGGGGTACCTCCACACATGGCCGGAGCTGCTCCATCAGGAGAGAGGAGCTCAGCTCAGGCCTTTGGGATCCAGAAACATTACTTGCAAGGAAGAGTCAATAATTTTCCTCAAGACAGAAAAAACCCCGAATATCACAATGACTAGCCCTGCCAATGAATCTGGGATATCCTTTCCAGTTGCTGACTCCCTTCTCTTGCTGGAGAGGGAACAAAATACTTGATAATTTCAGAAGGAATGTCAATAATTTGAATATTTATATTAAATAATTTTAAATATAACCCCAGAGCTACTAATAATGTCAGCATTAAATATTCATTAAGTATTTAATGCTAACAATAAGCAAGCATTTCACTAAATGAAGAGCTCATTAGCTAGATAATTGAACAGATGACTTTAATAAAGCCATTGTGGTTCAAACAGTCTATGAATTGACTCTGTGTGGTTTGAAATTGTATAATCCTGTCATGACCTTATTATGAATCTTTAGTCAGAGCCCACAAGCTAAATAGTCAATTTTTTCTGGGCAGTTTAGAGCAATATCGAGGAGGGGATCACAAAGTAGAAACACGTGTCTTACTGGCAGGCGTGGCACTGACTCCAAACAGTCACCGCCAC